ATTAATTGCTACTCATTAGGCAGCAAGTCAGGAGAAGTATGAATGTGCCTTCTCTCCTTGGCTTTAGCTGTTGCCTGACCGAAATAGCCCCCTTTTGTATTTACTCCTGCCTTCTCTAATAATAAGCAAATTAGAGATCATAGCTAGAAAAAATTCAAGTACCCTCCATCCTTTCTCCAAAACCAGCATATAGTTTTGTGATGTTTATCTATTCCATGGGTACGGCTAATAATTGCAGAGGTCATGTGAATCCACATAGTGCAAGATTAGAAACAACATCTGCAAAATTACTTCTTAGGAAAGTATTTTGTGTTTTGTCTTTTTCTGAAAAAGTGATTTTGCAAGCAAATTACTGTCTTTTCCTTCCTTGCATTATATTTTTATATTGCTGGGAAAAGTATTTTTGGAGGAAAACATTTAATAGCTATCAAAAGTTTTTGAATCCATGGTCATATTTTGACTTTACATATATTTCCTGATATGCTTGGTGGGCTTCTATATGAATAAATTAGATTGGGGTCTTATCTTTAAATTCTGAAATGATGGCCCTTGAATAAACTCTTTGGAATATATTGATTTCGTATGCTGTTCATTAAAATTCTATATGTGGAATATAAAGAGTATATGCAAGCATTTGACCTTTTAAAATTACCTTTAAAATTTATTCATGATAATGCCTAAAGAGTATGAGATAATTGATTTTGCAGAATAATCAAAAGCTGGTGAAGCAAGAGGAAGAGAGGGGAACAAGACTCCTATAATGTCCAGACTGATCCCTGAGGTGGCCGCAGGTTTTAAGAGCATACCACTCTAGCCATGTGCATTTGTGATCTTGCTGCCTTCCTGTCATGTATATTACATGTAGACATTTTCCAAACATTCATCCATTTCGACCAAAAACAGGAGGCAGTCAGCAGAACAGAGGGTTATAGCAGCAGCCTTGCTCTGCTTCATGAAATATGAAAGCCTGTTTACTTAGTAACCACAACAATTTGAAAGGCTTCAGGCTGAGGAGTTTGTGCGTGATATAGTCTGCTGGGACCATGAGTGGCAGAGGCAGTGAGACCACTGACAATGTGGTGTTCCAGAAACTGGATAGTGAAGAAATTAGGGTAGGTGGTGAGTCAGAGTGCTTCGTCTGCCCCATTCTCAGGTCAGTTGGACCATTTGGTCTTAGCACCAGTCCCCTTCCCCATCAACGGTCTAGAGACCCACAGTTCCTGCTCTGTAAGTGGTTTCCACCTTGCAGGTCATGGGCTTGTGTTAAGGTTCAATTGGAAAAGGGAGATTTCCCTTTTCTTCCCCCGCTCGTGCAGCTCTTCCCCAGACATGCAGCTTTTGGTAGCCTCATTCTTTGTAGTCTTAGGAATAGAGGAACTTAAAATCAGTAATAAGGAGTCAATGTGAACTTGTCCAGGCTTTTATCTAGGACATGTTTTTCTTACGCATGCTCTTATTTACACATGCGCACACTCAGAATGTTTTCTGTGATCTAAGACACCATGCAGCATAATTCAGTATTGACTTATTAACAGTTTTTCAAGATAAAACAATGTGTTCATCCTTCGTAAATCTCATGCACATTTCAGAAATGTTGGTGTAAAAACAGAATAGGACAGAATTAATACCATGTACAAGCGTAGCATGTGTTTTTAAATTTATTGAAGCTCTACTTGTTTGGGTAAATTATCACCCTCCTCTTTAGAGTGGGGGCAAGTGGGGAAGGATAAAGCGGAATGTGTAAAAAGTCCAGGATATTAGACCAGAGTGACAGAGAGGAGCAATTGACTTAGGTCTGACACTTAGAGTTATAATTTTTTCAAAGCCGGGCATGTATCTCTGCACTGAAAATGACAATTTAGAGATCCTTCCATTGAAATCTCTTAGCTTGGCATCCTTCCGCACTCCCATTTCAGGATAAGTGGGTGTGCAGCCAGGCTCCCAGTTGTGATTTCGAGATATGCCTGGTGGTGCTTATTATCTCCAGGGTTACTTTAGATTTTAAACAAAAAATTTCAGTCCTTTTAATTTTCAAATATGTATCATAGATAAAGGGGAGATGTTATAAAATTAAATGAGTAGTCAGTAGCTCTGCTACAAAAGATAGGAAATCACTGGTGTAGACATTTCAGTCCATTTGCAGAAAATTGCCTATTCTCAAATAGGTAGGTCAAGTACAAGAACCTCTACTTGAGATAAAATTTCCTTTCCAAACTGGGCTTTCTCTGTTAGGACAGGCAGCCAAGAGCTGCCTAAATTTTAACATCCTACTATTTTCTCACTAGTAGGGTTTTTTTTTTTTTTGCTATATGTATTAAGATGTATGTATTTCTTTATGATCAAACTTGCCCGCATAGCAACAAATACTTTCAGAACCAGAAGAACATACATTAGAGAATAAAGTGCAACTCTTTATTTTGTAGATGAAGAAAAGTAGAGGGTGTTAAATGATTTGCCCGACGTAACACAGCTATTAATGTCAGGCAGGCAGATTTGGAAGCGGGTCTCCCAGTTCCCTGGCAGGTCAGCCTTTTATGGTCACAGAGCAAGTTGGTGCGATAAAAGCAATTGATTTGCTCTGCTGCTTTTGAACTCTTGTTTTCATTTAGATACCTGGTAGAGTTCTGGTAATGAGACTCAGACCTTACTTTATTTAACAGAGGAGAAAGATCATATTCTGAAGGTGCGTCACAATAAGCAGCAGAGATAGTTACTATTCTCCTTTCCTATGTTGACTGGTTTCCCTTTCATAAACACTTAGAAGAAATTTTCAATAAGCCTAGCAAAGGGAAACATTTCAGGCAGCTCTTACTAGAATAAAGTGGGTTGTGGAGATGCAGGGAACTCATCTCCATTTTGACCTGGACTTGAGATTCGTGAGTCGCCCTACCTGAGTGTGCACAGACTCACTCTGTGTTCGGGGAAGCAGAATGGCCCCATCGCTAGCATTTCACAAACACAGAACTCTCAGGTCGGGGGGAGGCCCCGTAGTGATCTTTTGGAATAGAGCCAAGCCCACAAGCGCTTTTGTAGTTACTCCTTAGATGCATCTGCCAGGCAGGCAAGAAGTCTGGGCTGCCATTTTCCAAGCCCCCTGAGCTGGGCCCCAGAGAAGCCATAAGGCTTGTTCTGTGCTGAGGAAGGTGCCTGTGGTTATACCTGTGCCATGACCTCAGTTTCAGAGATTGCCTTGAGAGCGTTTATAACCTTCAGTAAGGGGGTAAGTGGCGTGGGGGCTGGAGTCCAAAGGGAAACCAGTGCATGTGTGTTGATGTTGGGGAGTTCTTGACAAGGAATGGAGTAGGTGTGACTGGAGCCATGTTTTCTGTTCCTGGATTACCCTCCAAGGGGACAGGCGGGGCAAGGGCCAGCTCAGAGTGGGCCGACTGGCACCGAGATCTGTATGTGTTGGGCTCAGTTCAGCTTTAGGGCACATGTACACTCCCA